ACACACACATCCCATTCCCTCTTTAAGGTGTCTGTGTCAAGTATGGCGTAGGAAAAGGACCGAAAGAATGTAAACTAAGACACCGTGTTAGTTAAAACTTGTAATAAGGTAAAAGATAAAAAGACGCACTGCAAATAACTTCTGAGTAAAAGAGTAGAAATTAGCGGAAGGGGAGGTAGTCGGGAACCGAAGACAACTTGATCCGTCGGATCTACAGAGCCCGGCAAATTCCGTACTTCTCCGTGACCTGCATGATGGCGTTCATGACGTCAGTTTGGGGCTGGTGGTTGCAGAGGTTAATAAAGGCCTGTAGATTTCTCCTGACGAATGGATACCTGCCCATGTCGATGCCTGGACATCGAGCAGAGAAGAGGCTCAGGGCAGCCTTGTAACACTCAGAGTTGTCGACTCGCTCTTTGCCGGTCAGTATGTCGGTCTCCGTCACACCTCTGGGGCTGGACAAGGCTGCCCTGACCATGTCTTTGGTCAGCAACTCGGCTTTTTTCTTGATCAGCATCAGATAACGTAATTCGGCCTCGAGCTCTTCCCGTTGTTGACCACTGAGATCACGTGACTCGATGAGGCGACGGGCCGTGGTGGCGATCTGAACCATGTCAATGGCGGGATTATTGAGGTCGATTCCGGCAAAGTTGAACTCTGACCCCAGAGTGTGTTCATCTGTGTCGTGCGTATTATAACGGACGCCGGGTTTGTATAGCTCTGATTCTGCCTGGAACTGAGCGAGGTGTTCCTTGTTCATTTTCACGTCTCCGTACTGCTGGGGGTGACTCACGTCTGTATTAGTGTTGCAGGCTTTTTTCACGAGTTCGTACTGCTGGTAGAGTGTTTCCTTGTGGAGATTTGCCTTGTCTGTGTTGTACATCCAGGCGTTATCATACACACTTCCTACGTACGCTTTACGGAATTTGTCCCAACAGCACATGTATGCTTCCTCGTGGGCGTTCGCGGACGTTGTAACGTAGATATTGATGTCTTTCGGAAGTATACCCTCAAACATGCTCCCCGAAAAGCAGGCCTCCATGTAAAGTACCATCTTCTTATACCTGTTTTCTTTGTGCATCTGTTTGAGAGCATTGTTGAGGTCGGTGTTGTGCATCTCTACGAAAGAAGGAAAGAAGAAGACCCCTGGGCCTCCATGATCAATCATATAGACGAACACATGATCGTCGGGACCGCTGGCAATCACCTTACCGTCTCTACCAATCAGCTTCTTCACGCCCTCCTTGTCGCCTGTGAGAACTTTGAGAAAGACTTCCGGTGTGACTTCGTCCTTCCGGTAGTCCATTTCACATCCGGGGTAAAGATTCGGCCCTCCAGGAACGTTAACGAGGTTTCCTTGGATGGGATTATAACGGCTATGAGCTACGTCATCGTAAGACATGTGGACGATATTCTCTGGGGGTATGCTGTTGTTGCGCATCGTGTGGTAGGCGTGGCACGTGCAGGACTGGGGGAAGAAACACACATACATACACAATTAAACATAGCAGCGGGGTAAGTGAGTACTTGTTGAAGAAAAATGTACGCACTCTATGAGTCTATGGCTAAGACTGGCAAGGAAATTTGAGCATTATCGGCGGGAAGAGTTTAAGAAAGTGATGACATTTTGTTATCTTAGAATTACAAAGTTCTTCTAACAATTTCGGTCGTTTGGAGTTACTAAGACCTCGTGCCCCAAACCACATGTTCTATCTGCTCTATCAAAATCGTAAGATTACTTGGAGTTGTTATCAAGATATTCAAAGAATTACATTCGAAAAAGCTTGGCATATTATTATTATTGTGAAACTCAACATTTTTAAAGTCAGAATTCGCAAATTTAGGTACTGACCAGATAGAACTTTGTATTTCTAGATATACGATTTATCTTGGGGAAGTAGTACAAAAATTGGTATATATCTGTGTTATGAAAGTAGCAGTATAAAATATTGTGTTGTTTACATGGGAGAAAGGTATACACATTGTGACATTTACTTTATTGAAGAGGTAAAGTAAAGTAGACCAATTCCACCCCCCTCCCTTTCCAATCCTGGGAAAATCCTATTCTTTTTTTATTACAGGCATGTAATGGCAAGGAAGGCTAACCGTAACTTATTTTTTTAAAGCGTCAAAGTTATGCTTGACAATTTTTATGCGAAATTTTGATACACAATTTTGATGCTCAATTGCACACACACGGCTCAGTGGGTTTCTTTTCCCCATCAAAATAAATTAAGTAATGTCGAAATCTTCGACATGTACAGAAGGGGAAATCGTGAGATGTAGGAGAGGGATTGGTAGGTGGGCTGCTAGGGAAATGATATGCTGGGGGGGGGGGGGGGTGAGTGCATTCTGTGGCTTTTTTTCTTCTTCGCACAAACATTCTGAGTAAAAGAAAAAAGTGGGAAAAATAGAACACTCGGAGTAAAAGAAAAAAGTGGGAAAAATAGAACACTCGGTTTCATTTGTGATATGAAAAAAAAGGTCACACAAGAGAGAAAGGGGGAATTACAGGAGAGAGAGAGAGAGAGAGAGAGAGAGAGAGAGAGAGAGAGAGAGAGAGAGAGAGAGAGGGAGGGAGGGAGAGACAGGGAGGGATGGAGGGAGGGAGGGAGAGAGGGGGAGGGAGAGAGAGGGAGGGAGAGAGAGGGAGGGAGGGAGGGAGAGAGAGAGAAAGAGAGAGAGAGAGAGAGAGAGAGAGAGAGACTATCGATTGAGCGAGACGAGAGGTGAGCAGGAGTAGAGAACGAAAGAGATTAAGGAAAGAGTGAGGAAAGAGAGAGAAAGAGATGGAGAAAGAGAGAGTACGAGAGAAGCAGAAACGATCCTGTCTTCTCACTGGTCACCTGCAAAATACATGTATAAAAGTTTGGTCAAAATTATTTTTTTTACATTGGCCCACACACACACAAAATGGGACGACTCGTCAAAAAATTATATATAACGGGTTTGATCTGTCAAAATTTTGATTCAAATCTTTTTTTTTACTTCAAAAACACCCTGCACACAGTCAAATTTTGCATCTAAATTTTGATATCAAAATTTTGGCGCAAAATGGTGACGCTTTTTTTTGGAACGTGTATGGACCCCTTTAGTGCAGAATTCTACAGTTTTCTGAATCAAATACAGGGCACTTTCTGTACTTTCTCGCCTTGTTTTTGTTTCAAGCTTTAAAAGGACACATTTTATGGAAAGACACGTGTAAAGACCCACCCCTAAGCATCGAAAAAGTAAGTACCCATTCATACTTTTGATGTGGCCTGTTTGTGACTTATTATGAGTACTTTCAGTAGGATTAGATTTCAAATGCATACACGCACTGCTGAACTAGCGTTTCGCTGGTTTTTAGAATGAAATCCATACCCTACTTTATTCTTATCGATATTTCATTAAGCAACCAGGTTGATAAAACCACCCTTGGGGTGGATGTTCCCCCTCATGTTAAACATACTTAAACTTCTTTCTTTATCAATCTCACTTTGAGCAGCGTTATGGAAACGAACCAAACAGCGACCAATTCACAGCGTGACAAGACAAAGCCCTAGGTGGAACCCCCGGGGGAAGAGAAAGAGAGGAAGGCCGGGGTTCATCTAGGAGCGAGATCTAAAGGCAGATCTCAGGCATAATAATTATCATTTTTATGAGACACAACCAGCTGGAGGTGGAGAAAATTGCCTAAAACAGAGACGGATGGAGAGCTCGTGTTGGCGGCCTATACCCAAAACCAGAGTGAAAGAGGCTAGTGATGAATGATGGCGCCAAAGAAAAGCTGTACAGATTGATTTAATTTGATGAAGTGGTTATTAAGTGGGACAATTGGGACAATTGGTCGCTTTTAAGGACAAGCGGGCTAACTCAGATTCCGGGGGCTTCCAGAAATCTTGACCTACACCAAGAATGGACATTGCCCTACCCATAGGAGAAATTTGGTTTCATTGGTGTGTATATTTGTTTGGTTATAGAGAAAACCCTTTGTCTTTTGAAGAAACTGAACAAGGGGCAAAAACTTTATCATCGATTTTCTCAAAACAGCATTTTTTCGGGATAGCCCCTTTGTGCTTAAAAGCGACCAATTACTCTAAAGAAGAATATAGATTGTTAACGTCTCACTGAAGGATGTGACGCACGAGTGGTGATATTAAATCCGGGGGATAAGATTGTACAGGTACGTGTACTTGTTTCCTGAGGGATACAGTTTGCAGGTACAATATTTGTCTAGGGAATAAGGTTTACAGGTGTAAATTTAGCGGAGAGTTATCATACACAGCTGGTAATAATATTTAAATTTACCTTGGGGGAGGGGACATGGGGACATTTGTATTGCTTTGTATTTTTAACTTACAAAATTGGTAACGGGTACACTTGGAAGTGATTTAGGCGGCGCCCGTGGCCTAGTGGTTAGGTTACTGGACCTGTAATCGTGAGATTGGGGGCTCGGAGGTTCGGGCTTCAGCTCGGAAAAGGCACTTTACACGAATTTCCCTTTTGGCTCAGTGCTTTCGGAGATGGTCTTTAAACTCGGAGGTCCCGCCTGTTTGATAACCTAACAGTATTGATATAGGCGTTAAACTTATACCATGTCACCATTTTGAAGTGGTTTTATCTTGGGCTCATTAGTTATTTAGTATAAAAGGAACATTACGGTTTTATTAGAGAGATCCGATTATTTTATTTGTTTGGTTTAAGAGAATCTAGCCGGCCTAACCATCTGTCCTGGGCAGAACTATCAGGTGAACGGACTGAGCGTTCGCAGGACGTTCCAGCGAACCCCGCCGACCACTCTCTGGATAACTAGATCCTGTACTCTAGATATCTACGCCCCCCCCCCCTTCCCTCCTAAAAAAATCAAGACAAATTAGACCTTTCAGGACGAGAAATGTGGCTTTCTACTTGTAGTATGTTTTTGGTGAGGAAACAGTTACCAATAGGTATATGAAATTTCAGGGTAAATATCCTGTTGTAAAATTAAAGGGTTTCTCAACTGGATTTTGCTTAGCTATGTTATTGACCGTGCCACAGACAAATCAATACAGCCGAATCCGCTTATTTTGAACTCGCGTGAGGTGATTTTCGGTAAAGCTGACTTTTTCTCGGGTCCCAGCACCTCTTTTCCTTTACAGATCCCAACTGCAAAGTTGAACTTCGGATGGGTTGATCTTTTTTCACTCTCTCGACATCAACTTCCGTATTCGACTGTATATATACCGAGTTGCAAAAGTTCTGTCACACCCACTTTAAAAGTACAATAACTCGTTTACTATTCTATCTAGCTAAGAGAAATTTGGTACACGAGATTTTTATTCATTTTCTGCCAACATGACGAGAAAAGAATTGACAAATGTCTTTCTTTATTCAAGAAAGATAATTTTATTCACACTGACCCTTACAAAATCCAAAATCAAAGTTTGCTCAGTATGGTGTGTGGCCTCTTCCAGCTTGAATTACTGATACAAAGCATCTGTTTGTTGACTGAATTAATGTCCTTATGGTTGTCTGAAGAATCCCCTGCCATTCCTTGTGAAGTGCAGTCTTCAGTTCCTGACGAGTATATACGGAGGGCGGCCAGTTTCTAATCCTCCAGTCAAGGCCATCTTACAGAATAAATGTTCTGTTGGGTTAAGGCTTGTTGGTCTTGCAGGCGAGTCCAGAACTACGATGTGATGAGTTTGGAAGGAGTTTTCACTGATCGTAGCCATTTTGTGGTCGGCGTTGTCTTGTTGGCACGTTCCATCATCCGTGCCATGTAGGGCAGTCAACGTGACGATGAATTTCGAAACAATACCGCCGTCCTTTGAGGTTGCTTTGAAAAGTAACCAAATGTGTACGATAAAGAGCAGAGATTCCACCCCACACCATACCATCACATTTCAGCCACCGATTCAGGCCTCTTGGGGGACATTGGATTTGGGAAATCTCTATCCCCTTCTTTTAAACACTTTTTCTCTTCCGTCAATGCAATGAATTAAAACCTTCACAATTGCTTAAAGAGACACTTTACCAACGTCTTTAGTTTCATTGCCAATGTTGTTGTGCCAAAATTTGGCGATTTGTTCGATGAAACAGGGTTAGCATGGCTCCCCGCAAAGGGCGATAACCAGGTAACCCACGATCTTATAACTATCTAATAATGGTGTTTAAAGATAGTCCGAAGTACCTGGCAGTCTGTGCACTTAGTTGGAACTGGTTTCGTACAGGGGTGTTGACCATAACCCAATTCTGACGTCGAGTTGTCGTCCTTGGTTGTCCTCGCCTAGGCTTGTCTTGGACAGTTCTAGTGGTTTTAAAACGTTTGTTCAAGCTTTAGATGGTTCCTCTACACACATCTACGTGTCTTGCAACAGCAGAAAGCACAATTTAAGAATTTATCATACACACATCCTCTTTATTTTCTGCATTTATCAGTTTTTTATTTGGAAAAACAGGTGAAAAAAAGTACCCAACCGTTAAAAAGTACGGAATTTCATAGTGTGTAAGATGTGTTCACACATTGACTACGTGATTCAAAGCAAATGTTGTGTGTAGGAAGCGTTGATTTCAACGTGGACCTAGAGAAATCAATACCGACACTTTGTCCACGCACTACTTCCGGTTTATGATTTTTTTCGTCTGCTCTTGCACAAGGCGTCTCATAAGTCACACAAGTCACACTTTTTAACTTTTACTGCAGTTCTTACGCTGTATCGAAAAATATCGTAATATAATGGGTGTGACAGAACTTTTGCAACTCAGTATATTAACATATATAAAATCATGAAACATTTAGATCTAGATCTAGCACAATGTAGAACCAAATTACAGTTGTATTGATGCTAAGAGGGTCAGGCCCTACTGTATTTACCTGAGAGGCGTAGTTGTCGTAACCCTTAGCTCCGGCCACTATCAGGACCCAGTTCTTGCCGGACTCCACGCTGACCACGCTGACCACAGCCAGCAGTGCCAGAGAGAGGACTCTATGACGTGACATCATGGTCTCTGTCCTGTGTCTTGATCTGGTAGTTCACTGTTCGGCGGTGCGATACTGTTTGCGCTTCTTCCTTGCTTGTGACATGCTACATATAGTGGGTGGGCATTTTTTACAGCAGCGTCGGATGGGTGGTAAAGAGGGTGGGGTTTGCCGTGATCTAATACTGAGATCATTCAGATTATAAAGGATGCATAAGGACTGAAAAGACAGTGAAACATACGTAATATTAAAAACAAAGTGAAATTATAAATACTATAAATAGATTCAAATGTCTTAAAATCTTGTTAGTTGCAATGCCTCGTTTGAAACCCGAAAAATGGACTCACCTATGAGTCTTTATACATGTATGACTTGTGTCCGTCGGTTTTATGTTGAGCAAATTTGCCATTGAACTTTTGGTTGAATGGTGCATCATTCATGATAAACCATTCATTACTAAAATATTTCTGTTGCTTTACATCCTCGACAGGATGCGAAAATTCTGCTGTTTCAGTCTCTTGACAGTGGGCTTAGCTTCACGTAATAAAAAACTGAAGTGAACCACCCTTTGTTTTGTCTCGGCCTTGAGCTATGCAAGGTCAAGACCCAAGTGATATTCAGTTAGTAGGAACTTTTTGGTGGAGAAAATCAGGTGGGGCTGAAGCTGCAAACCCCACCCCTCGAGACGACACTGGGTTTTCATACACCAGTCTATTATGCGTCGTGCCTCAAACATCTCGTGATGTGTCCCGTGATATTGTGATTGCTTAATGTTTCAATATTTTCAACCTCTTACGTGTTTTTGTTTGACTCCAAAGTTGTAAACAAGGTCTGATACTGTTGTTTACCTGTTGAGCAATCAGTGAGAAAACCTGCGCCAATGCAAAGGTCACATGTGTGATTAACTAGTGGTTACAAAACCTTTACACCTCCCATGGGAACACTATTAGGAAGAGTGTGTTGGTGTCGTTGTGTGTGTGTGTGTGTGTGTGTGTGTGTGTGTGTGTGTGTGTGTGTGTGTGTGTGTGTGTGTGTGTGTGTGTGTGTGTGTGTGTGTGTGTTCGAGGGAAGGGGGGGGGGGACTTCTTCAACCCTACAATAACATCCCATCTGATAGACTGAAATACCCGATAAATGAAACTTCACATTTGGACAAACGAACACACATGTCTTCTGAGTGCAACGGTGAAAGGCCTTACTTTTACACCTTTGACCCCTGACCCTGTTCTGTGAACACCCTGGTCAGAGGAACACATACGTATTGTCAGGTCATCATTTCCTTTGTTTTCAATGTAGGGTAGGTCGGGTTTTTTTTAGCCCCCATCGATACAATATCGTCGAGGAGATGGGCTTCAAACCTATCTTTTAAGGCTAACCCGGGCAAAGAGGGAAATAACACCTCAGCTGAAAGATCGAGGTATTCAACAGAAATTCTCCCCAAACGAGAATCGAACTTGGGTCCTCTGTGTGCGATAGGCGAAGAGCCTAACCGCTACACCATACTCCATAGACGCTGATGTCAGGTCGTTACTTTTAACGTTTTAGCAACTGATAGAAAGCGAGAAACAGGTAACGGGCGCGAACACCTGACTTTATCTTTCTTACCTCCCCCTTGTACTACACTGTATGACCAGCTGGCCGCTGTGGTGTAACGGACAGGTAATCATAAGCGGGCCGACACTTTATTCTCCTTATTATTATTATTTTAAAAAATTCATTTTGTTTATTTATTTATATAATATATATATATATATATTTTTTATTATTTTTTTAAAAATATTTTTTTTAAACATTAAAAAAAAATTGGGGGGGGGGGCTAAAAAGTGGCGTACTATTTGTAATCACTTGGGGGGGGGGGCGGAAAATATTTTGTAATTACTGATTACTGGAATTGGGGGTTGTGTATTTTTTCTTCTGAATTTGGGGGGGGGGGGGGCAGGCCGTGAAGCGTAAAATATAAATTTGTAATCACTGGGTGTGTGTTTGGAGAGGGGGGGGGGGGGGCGAGTTTGCGTAAAATATTTATTGTAAACACAAACTGACCTGTGGGTGGTTGGCAGGTGCTCTTGTGTGGTTTGCATCTACTTTCTTATCAAACATAAAATATCGTCTTTATCTCCCCTTCTTTTTGTGTCCGTTACCCTCTTGTAACACCTCTAATCTTAGGCACTTATATGACCTTATTGTGTTGCAAGTGCCGTAAAACTCTTACTAAAACTAAAACTAAACTGACCAGTTAGTAAGGAGGAATTAAGCTCCTTGCCAGTTAGTCACACAGTGTGACCTTAGCACTGGCACGTGATGTTAGCTATTATGGCCCCTCGCACACCCCGAGGTGTTTGTTTGTGTTACGTACGTGTCCCTCTTTCTGGCCATGGTGGCGTTGGTAGTCTAGTGGTTAGGCAACCGGACCCGTAATCACGATATTTGCGGGTTCAAGGGTTCGAGCCTCAGCTCGATCCGACGTTGTGTCACTGGGAAAGTCACTTCACACGAATTTCTCCTTTTGCTCGGTCCTTTCAGAGATGGACATTAAACTTGGAAGTCCCTCTTCGTAAATAACTAATAGTGTTGCATTTCACCATTGTTGTTTTTTCTGATATGATCTTAGTTTAATTTTTTTTTAAGGTATAACGCCCCCATTGACAAATCTCAGGTAATTTAGGAGGCCGGCTTCCGGCCCAAGCTGGGCTATTACCTCTGTGTACACACTTATTGTTTCACACAAGTAGACGGACTAACAAGCAAGGAAGAAGCAAAATGTATAATTTTATCCCCAAACAGTGAACTACATGGACATGTATTATAATTGGAGTCAATGATGGTCCGTACCTCCCAGGGTGTAGTTGGCTGTGGTGTGGTTTGCCCCTTCTCTCCCGTCAAACACCGGTCGTCCGTATCTCTCCCCATTCTTTCCTATCAAACATCCATCGTTCGTATCTCTCCTCTTCTGTGTTTGTTACACTCTAGTAAAACTTCGTATTTTTCGGCACGTATGACCTAATTGGGTTCCAAGTGCCGTAAAATGTTTACTAAAAACAAAACTATCCCAGATACTGCGGTCAGCCGCAGCTATACGAGACACACGGATCCCCCTGCTGTACATCTACTGCGAGGACGACCGGATCGCGAGCAGCCTCCTGCAAGAGGTCATGACCTTTGACGTCCTCCGGATCCCCTCGGAGAACATCGTGCGGGTCTCCGCTGACGGCAAGGGGAACATGGAGCCTTTGTTTAGTAAGTGATTGTGTGTCAGTCTGTATAAGCTTACTTTATGCAGCCGGACCTGCTACATGTATTACGACCACCTGGCGAACATTGGGTCAATGTTTAGTAAGTGTTTGTTTGAAGGGGAACATGGAGCCATTGTTTGTTTTTGTTTCTGTAAAGTTTTTACGGCGCTCTCAAACTGCATAAGGTCTTATGAGCGCCAATGGATGAATGTCAACTGAGAAGTCCAAAAGGGGATTCAGGCTTACTCTACTCACCTTTCTTGCCTCAGCAGCACAAATTCTGCTTCGACTATCAAGGCACCCCGGAAAAAGCAGTTCACAAGAGAGTGACGAACATACAAAAGAAGTAGAGGAAAATTGACGATAGTCAGGATGAGGAAAGAAAAAGCAGCAGTTTTCCCTATGTTGTTCCGGCGCAGTATGAGCGTGGCATCGATAAATCAGCCCATTTACAATAGTTTTACTGTAAGAACATGTTGATGTCCCCCTTTTGGGAATGGCCCAAAGATACCCCAGTCTGGAAGGGGGGGGGGGGGCGGAACCATTGTTTAGTAAGTGTTTGTGGCAAGGGGAGCATGGAGCGGGGGCTCTCGTGGCGTAGAGGTTAAGGTGTTTGGCTCTCATTCAAAGTTCCCGGGTTCGAACCCGAGTAGCGACGGTTAAGTTTCTTCTCTTAAATTGTCTCCATTCACTCCCTTTCCTGCTCTCTAGTAATATTCTGTCGCCTGCTTTCGTCTCCTCTCTCTACCCTCACCCCCTCATCTCCTTTGCCCCTCCTCTGGGCCCCTGACTCCTTCTGAGCCTTTCTACTGCTACTCTTTGGCTCCTTCTTACTGCTGTCCTTCAGCCACAACCCTGATCTTATGGTAGGAAAGATCTACAGACAGACTTCTCGGACTCGGGCGAAAAATCCCGGAGGGTCCATGTGCAAGTTGCGCACGTTAAAGATCTCTTGGTGATCTAAAATCGATAGGAGTAGGCTTCGACCGCCACCAGGGCAAAATTCAAAATTGTCTACCAACTCATGTTTACTGTGTACCGCACGCTCATATGACCTTATGCAGTTGCGAACGCCGTAAAACACTTACCAAAAACAAACAAACAAAAAAAACAAAACATGAAGCCATTGTTTAGTAAGTGTTTTTGCAGCGGTCAGTAAACAGCCGGACCTGCTCTAGCGATCACCTATACAAGATAATCACCTGTACAAACGACCATTTCATTTCCCATTCCCAACTCCCCCCCCCCCCAACCCCTTGTGTGTGTATGTGTATGTATATGTATGTATGTGTGCGTGTATATGTGTTTGTGTGTGTGTGTGTGTGTGTGTGTGTGTGTGTGTGTGTGTGTGTGTGTGTGTGTGTGTGTGTGTGTGTGTGTGTGAGCGTACATGTGTGTTTATATATGATCGACACTATCGACGACTTAATTACACTTACACGTCCTGTTTACGACAACCACTTTTCTCCTCGACAATGGGTAGCTGTCTTTGGCCATAAACACAGTGCACGCTTCTCCTACGTTTCATTTTCGGTTGCGACGTCTTTCTCCGAAAAAGTCGCATCGCCAAATTTTATTAACGAAGGATTGAATGCACGGCGCTACAGTGGGCGCGAAGCAGACGCAGTGCTGGACGGAGCAGAAAAAGTTCAGCGTGTGCACTTGCACACAAATTTCGAGCGTCTGCTGCGCGGCTAAACTGTTGAGGGGTGATTGTGTAGTGCGTGTAGCATAGTGAATTGTTGCATTTTGACTACAATGGAATCGGAGGCATTAATACACGCAGTTGAAAAAAGAAGATGTCTTTATGACAAAGCAGATCAAAACTACTGCAACAGGGCCATGATATCGACCGAATGGAAGAAAGAAGCCCACAAAGTTGGATGCAATGGTAAGAACTTTATCTCTTTCTTTCTGTCTGTCTGTCTGTCTGAACGTAGGCTACACTGTTCTACTTGTATACTTGTTTTAAACTATAGGCCTACTTTAGCTTATTAAAAGAGATGCAATGATAACCTTTTTTTAATGAGAGTGTGGACTGATCAGACGTTATAGCATTTACTGTTTTGCCATGGCAATGCACCATGCGGTGACGAGGAATATCCCATGAAAGCATTTCTCACTTCCCATTCCACTTTTGGTAGCTCTGCACCTTATAACTTCTAGTCTGTCGAACGTTGGTACGCCTGCTCGTGGCTCAATCACGTCATCCTCAATGAGCACCGATCTTCCAGGTCCTTGCATGATAATGAAATTGTGGAGCACTGTGATGGCCTTGACTGCATCTGTTGCCGACTCTTGCTGTTCATCCATTTGACGCAAGAGTATGCGCCACATTTGGGAAATCCTACCAAAGGACCGAACCGAAAGATGCAGCCACTGTGTTTGCTAGAAAAAAAGTCGGAACAGACGCGGCGAGTAACTTTAAAGTGCATCGCTGCAGCTGCGGCCACTGTGTCTGCGCACTTTGACAGGTTCAACTGTACATTGTATTTGGGAGTGATGTGTTTGAATACAATCGTCCGTTTTCTTTCTACTTCAATTGAATGGTTTTTCACCTTTAAGCTATAAGAATATGTGTATGGCCTGTAGCAATCACCGTCTTGGCTGAGCACAGCTTTTTGCAGTTTATTTTTTTCTTTTAATATACATGTAGGCCCATAATAAGGCTTACTGTTGCTTTTATTTTTTTCATTATTTGCTTCAATTGTTATGCAGGCCTTCTATTTGATCAATGAGGGCCCCAGTGGCAAAGTGATTAGTGAATTCAGACTCAAACTCAAAAGCAGTGTCCAGTAAGTGTCGGTGACACGGGGTTTAAGTGGGTGGTCACTGGGGTGTGTCCTTGAGTAAGACACAACAACCTTAGTTTTTTTTTAAAAACAAGAAAAAAAAGGGAAAAAAACCCCAAAGCAAACAACAGTGGCGACCTACTATGGCAAGTTTGTGAAAATGTTCTGAATTGGTGTAATATAATATTGTGTATTTTTGTACGTAGGTATATATTTACATATTTATGTATGTGGGGGCCTGTGTATTTATAATCATGTATTTATGTGTATAATATAAAAATATTTAGTGTATGTTTGCCATTGTAACCCAATCCCTCCCCCCCTGGGATCAATAAAATTTAATTTATCTTATTATATTTTTGTAATTAATTTATCAAGATTATGTTTAGGGGAGATATCAAGGACTCGGATTCGGACCTTTTCCTTCCTTACGTTTGTCGTGATCGACTGAGCTAAATCTACCTATTGGCAACCTTTCCTGCTCTATTATTTGGTTATCTTAGATTAGTAGGCCTCCCTTGACACCCCCCCCCTCCCTACTCACACACAGGGCATTCGAAAATGAATTGAATGAGGTGATATCTATCTCTTCTCGAGTGTTATTATGTAGAAGAAGAAGAAGAAGGAGAAGGAGAAGGAGAAGAAGGAGGAGGAGGAGGAGGAGGAGAAGAAGAAGAAGAAGGAGGAGGAGGAGGGGGAGAAGGAGGAAGAAGAAGGGGGAGGAGAAGGAGGAGAAGGAGGAAGAAGAAGGGGGGTGGGGGGGGAGGAAAAAAAGAAGAAGAGAAGGAGACGGAAAAGGAGGAGGAGGAGGGTGAGGAGAAGGAGAAAAAAGATAACGGACGAGGACGAGGAAGAGAAGGACAAACGTGTCGTTCATGTGGGTATGATATCAGAAAATATCGTCCAATGTTACTGTTCTACAGCATATTATAATTTTGAATTGACGCGAAAATAACATTCTACACTCTCTCTTTCGTAACGGCTGATTTCCTCCTCTGTAATATGGGCTAGCACGTAAAATCAGCATGAAGCAATCACACTTGGTTGACTTTATCTCACTAGATCTATAACAAGTCTCATATTTTCATTCTTTTTTGTTATTGTTTTTTTTTTTGGTTAAAGGTTGTTTGTTGTTGTTGTTGTTTGGTTGGGTTTGTTTTGTTTTGTTTTTGAGTGGGGGGAGTGGGGTCTGTCCGATTTTCCTTTTTCTCTCTGCTTTTTTTCTCTTTCAATTTGAGGCAACCGTCCGGGGAGAAGGGGAAGGGGTCACTCTTCCACAAGTGGGTTCTGGTATCACGTTGTTAAATGAAGCGGGTGACTCTGGTTCGAATCCCCGATTCATCGTTCTTGTTGGTTGTACGAGGAGTTTATAAACGCTCTTCACGTAGGCCTACTAAGCCCGGGCTTATCAGAGACTTTATGATGATTTAGGTTCAAAGGTACCGCCTCCTATAAATAATCTTACAGTAGTAAAGCCTAAACCATGGTGCAAGCTACTCATTTGCAATGGGGTTTCATGGGTGGTCGCTATGCACGTTGTCTACTTTTGATTCTTTCTAAGTGTTGTCTTCCTTTTCACCCTCCCCTGGGCTCCTGGCTTTTTCTGCAGCCTTTCTACTTCTACTGCTACTCCTTGGCCCCGTTCATACTGCTGTCTTTCAGCCACACCCCTGATCTTAGGTTATGTAAGATCCAACTCCTCGCCATCTCGGACAAGGGCGAAATAAATAAATAAAATACATTAATAAATAAATAAATAAGTGTTGTTCGTGTCTTGACTGTCAATATTACATAATAACATGTGACCCTCAGCCTGTCGTGCGGATATCACGTAAACTTCTGCTGAACAAGAACAACAACTCGTCTACTAGCAGTGATCTCCCCTTGCCGCTAGTGCCCATGCACCGCGGAAATCCCGGTGGAATTAATGTTTATGCTTGTAATCAACACAAAAAGTATGAAAGAAAAGGACAAGCATATCTTTAACGATCCTTTCATCTTTAATAATCCTTGGTGGGATTTTTAAAATATGTCATAAGATTTACTATGTCGTGAAATTGACGATCGTATAAAGATTGCTTAATAAATTTAATTATAGACCACAGGCGTTGTTGGCAGAATATGTAAGTTCGATTCCCTGAAAGGGAATTAGTTTTATTGAGTATGTCTGTCAGCCGGAGTGCTACCTCCCTCCCAGTCGCAACAAGATCAACAACGGCAGCAACACTATAGCACTCGTAAAAGCGATATTATCATTTAACATACCCAACGGTGACAAATATATATATAACCAGCAATCATAGCCAGCCCTCACTACCACCGAATCGACCACCACCACCACTATCATCATCATCATCATCATCATCACCATCATCATCATCATCATCATCATCATCATCATCATCATCATCATCATC